GAGTGCTTGCTGGCAGGAGGTGAGTGGAGCTGCTGATTTGTGACCTGGGGGCGGGCTGTGATGACGGCTGGCTGACGGATGCAGGCGCTTAGACGCCCTCTATGACAGCAGCCGGCTCTCTGAGCTGCCTGAATCAGGAGGTGGGAGGTTAGTTCTTGACCTGTGCTGCTCAATACTGGCTTCCCACCTCCCTGGTGCTTGTCCACAGCCACGTGAGGACACACACACATTGGTACACACCAGAGACACAGACCCTGGCTTGGACAGTGGTCAGCCAGCCAGGCCCCTCTGTCCATCTTGCTCCCAGCTCTGCCATCCCCCTGGAGTGCCTCCCCTTCTCACCAACATGCTTCTCTGTCCTCCCAGAAACTCGACTCAGAATCAGAGTCATCTAGGCCCTGTGCAGAGCTGTGGCGGGTGGGAGTGTAAAATGATTTCAGGTCTTTAAAGGCTTCGTGCCCTTGGGCAAAGCGCGGGTCATCTGTGAGCCCTGGGTTCCTCATCTCATCCTCATCAAACAGGCCTAATGAAAGCACCTGCTTGAAATCAAACAAGGCAAATTATGTAAAAGCACCAAACACAGTAAACACGGCATCCATTCTCCATGAGATTTACCTATCTTAGTATTAATTATGTACAGTGCTGAGAACAGGGCCTGGCATGCCGCAATGCTACATAAGTGTGCTGTCACCGTCATCACTACTATCATCATTGTTGTCATTAATATCCCTGGTTCTGAAATCCTTGGCCAATTGCACATCAATTCTTGCTCAAGACCCTGAATACTCTTTTATCCCATGATAACGATGGTGATGATGATGATGACAATAAAAGGGGAATATTTTTCTTTTCATCTTCCTAGATGCCTTGTAAGGAGGGCAGACACGGTAAGTGGAAGGCTCTTTATTTTCTAAGCTCCTTGATAGAGCTGGGTTTGCTTATTTGGAGCCTGGAGCTGGCATGGTTGTATTTTCTGCCTAACACAGGGAGAGGATTTGGAACTCTTGGGGAACCTGGTGGGAACCAATGAGACAGACGACCAAAAGCTGTGTGTTCCATAAAACCCTCCTCTGTGACCCCAAGTCATCAGAAAAGCTCACAAATGCTTGGCATGAGTAGACACCTTGTGCAACCCAGTGAAAGGGCAGGACTCACTGGATTTCACTGTGGGCTGGCTCAGCACCCAGTGGAGACAGCAAGCGTGGATGCAGGAGCTAGAAGCAAAGGGGATTGAGGGAATGTTACCTTTTCCTCCACACCTCACTCTGGAACTAGCAGAAATCATGGGGAGGCTTGAGGACTTCTACAGGCTGTGGAATGCGGTGGTGGGTAGAGGAATGAGCTCTCTGAGCACAGACAGGGACTTTTGGATACACCCAAGACATATGTTTGGGGCTTCCTGTGTGCCGGACACTGTGTGTGCTGCTGACGGGGTAGGTTCTGGGGGCCACAGCACCCAGGTTTAAATCTCAGCATCTCCACTTATTAGTCATTTGATCTTGCACAAGTTACTTAACCTTCTTGTGCCTCAGTTTTCTCACCTGTAAAATGGGGGCTGCCCCATTGCGTTGTTGTGGGATTAAATGAGTTAATTTATGTAAAATGCTCAGTAAGTGTTAGCTGTTGCTATTGCATTTTATCCTTATTGCAACCCTATGAAGTAGCTGGTCTGAGCGTATGCACTTTATGGATAAGAAAATGGAGGCATATAGAGGATAAATAACTTGTCTGAAGCCACACAATGGCTGGGCGTGGTGCCTCATGCTTGTAATCCCAGCACTTTGGGAGGCCAAAGAGGGAGGATCACTTGAGCCCAGGAGTTTGAGACCAGCCTGGGCAGCATAGCAAGACTCCATCTTTACAAAAAATTAGCTAGATGTGGTGGTGCATGTCTGCAGTCCCAACTACTTGGGGGGCTGAGGTGAGAGGATCGGTTGAGCCCGGTATATTGAGGCTGCAGTGAGCCATGATCGTGCCACTGCACTCCGGCTGAGTGACAGAGCAAGACCCTGGAAAGAGGGAAGAAAAGAAAGCAAAGCAAAGCAAAGAAAAGAAAAGAAATGAAAGGAAAGAAAAGAAAGAAAGAAAGAAGGAAAGAAAGAAAGAGAGAGAAAGAAAGAGAAAAGGAAAAGAAAGAAAGAGGGAAAGGAAAGAAGGAAGGAAGGAAGGAAGGAGGGAAAAAGAGAGAGAGAGAAAGAAAGAAAAGGGGGGAGGGAGGGAAGGAAAGAAAGAGAGAGAAAGAGAGAGAGAGAAAGAAGAAAGAAAGGAAGGAGAAAGAAAAAGAGAAAGACAGAGAGAGAGAAAGAAAGAAAAAGAAAGAAAGAAAGAGAAAGAAAGAAGGAACTCATACAGTGGGTAAATAGTAGAGCCAGAGGCTCAGAAGGCGAATCTGGATAAATAATGTTCTTTATTTCTGGCAAGATCTTTGACTCTGTGTGACCTTGGGTAAGTCATTCTCCATGTGTGAGGTTTAGACAGGATGTTCAAGGGATCTATGACTTCATGTCCATGTGTCCCTCTGGACATATACTCTGCCTGTAACCTCCTTCTTGGCAGGGTCAGTATCTGCTAAGGCAACCAGTGCATGTGGAAGGGGCAGGCTTGGAGCCAGGGGGACCTGTGCCATCTCTGCTCTGTCCTATACTAGCTAGGAGACCTTGAACCGGCCACTTTATTCCCCTGGGTTTCAGTTTCCTCCTTCTACAATGGAGCTGGCAACCAACCTGAGAAATGCTGCTGGGCTTCTGTATGTGAGAGCTGGGCACACAGGGGTGAGAGAAGTGGCTGCAGCTCTCCCCAGGGGTCCCCAAGTTAACATGCCCATTTGTAGCATGAGCTATAGGAACCATGGGTTAAGGGTCCCACATGGGATGATTTGGGGGTTCCCAGATTTCCCTCCACTTGGGCTTACCATGCTAACCCCACATCCCTGCCACTGGCCACTCTCAATGGACTTTAGAAGGCATGTTCAAGTTGAGCAAGTTATCAAGTTCCTTAACCTGGCCTTCATGTTCTTTTCACAACTACCTCCAACCAGCCTTCCCTGCCTCATGTCCCACCACTCCTCCACCCTGTGATTCAGTCCCAAGGGCCACACACCCTTCCTGAAACTGCCACATCCTTCTTGCCTTCTCCCCACCCCCAGCCTTTGCAGATGCTCTTCGTTCCTCTTGGAATACTCTTGCTCACTTGGCCACCTCACATCCCATACGCATTCTTCAAGACCCAGTTGAAGTTACTTCCTTTGGGAAGCCCTCCAGGATTACTCAGTCTTTCTTTAGTGCTTCCAGGAGATCTTATTCTGTTAATTTTACTACTCTTACCAAACACATTATTTTTGGCTGCTTCAGCTCCCTGATCCACTTCCTTCCTCCAACTTAGGTCTTGAGCTACTGGAAGGGAGGAACTACCTATCATCTGTGTAACCCTCGGCAGTTTACTACTCTCTCAGCCTCAGATTCCTCATCTGAACTGGGGCTGACAGTACCTAAATGAGAGAAAATAATGCAGGTAAGGCACTGGGACATACTGGCCATCTCTGGATCTATCACAGTGGACCTTGGCAAATGTGGGAATGAATGAGAGCCCTCTGGGAGGGTAAGAAAAATAAGGCTAATAAGCATTTATTGGGAACTTTCCACGTCAGGAAGGCACTGAGTTCAGAGCTTAACATCCACTATCTCATTTAAGACTTTTAATAATCCTTTAAGGAAGAGACTATCATTACCCCCATTTTACAGATAAGGCAGCTGAGGCTTCAGCAGTGGAGGACCTTGATGAAGGATGCCCAGCTAGCAGGAGCTGGAATTCATGTTGGATCAATGTGGAATGAATGAATCACTTGGGTGTGGGGGGAGGTGGGAGGACAGATAACCTGTATCTTATAATCATATGGTTTTAGAGTTGGAAACTCTTCAGGTGACTTAGTCCAGGGGTTCTTAATTTGGGATCCATGAGTGGGGAAACTGATGGGTTCCAAAGCCAGACAGATAAGGTCCCCACCCCTTACCCAGTGGTTTCTGACCCCTCTGTCTCCTGCCAATCCTTGCATCCACTCAAGTCCTGGAGTCACCCAGCTTGTTCTTGCTTGGCTCCGCTGGTGTTTCAGTGTGGTCTGAGACTCCTGAAGGCTCCACAGTTGCTGGGGGTGTCCTTATCCCCCACACAGGGCAGGATCAGGAGCTGACAGTTGCAACCTTTTCCTCTCCCCTTGGAGACGTAGGGAAAAGGGGAAGGGCATCTGGAGCAAGGGAGAGAGCTCAGACCTTGGAGGCAGACACACTAGGCTTCTAAGAACCACAAAGATAAGAATAGTAACAAAGGCTAGCATTTATTGAACACCTACTATGTGCCAGGCACTGTCCTAATCACTTGACACATATGAACCCTTTTCAGCCTCACAACTCTTCGAGGTAGGTTCTGTTATTAACCCCATTTGACAGATGAGGAAACTGAGGCCCAGAGAAGTGAAGTGACTTGCCCGAGGCCAGGCAGCTGGCCAGTGCCAGAGGCTCTGCCATTCACTGGCCAGGTGCCCTTGGACGGGTCACAGCCACTTCTCTGGGGTCCTTTCCCCTTCTATTCCGTGCAGGACACCACCTCATGGTTTCTCTGACGACTGAGCTGGTCTCTGTACAGCGTCCCAGCACACAGTAGGTGCTTAGTAAATGAATAGCCTTCTTTCCTCTTAACTCTGATGGGGGAAACCTGGGGTGGGGGCATCTCAGCGGCGTGCTCCCTCCAGCATTCTCCCCCAGGCCAGGATTGAGTGACCCGCCCCTTCCCGACTCTGCAACGCCACCCCCATCTCCCATTCTAACCCCAGAGCCACGCCGCGCCCGGTTTCGCCTCAGTTTTAATGCCGTTGGTCAGAATCCCGCACCTCTGGGCCCCAAAGTTGCACCCCTACAGGAGGAGGAGCGAAAGAATCTGCTCCTAGCAAGTCCTCCTCCGTCCGGCCGCCGAGGGAGGGTTGGGGAGGGCAGGGAAGGGGGTCCACGGGGAAACGCGTTGTCCTGGGGGCCCCGGCGTGTGCTGGGCGGGTGAGCAGCCGCGCCCCGACGGCAGGGCGCGGGGCTAGGAGGCCTGGGCCTCGTCGTCCCCGCGGTGGCCGGCGTAGAGCGCGGCCAGGGGCCGGAAGCGCGGACCCCAGCTGCTGAGATAGGCGAAGTCCTGCTCCGAGCCCGACGAGCCACTGTGCAGCGAGCTGAGCGAGCCGGCCGGTGAGTCCGCGCCCTCGAAGGCGTAGGTCTGGAAGGCGTCGTAGGGCGGCACCGATAGGTCCCCGTCCGCCAACGCCACCTTGCGGCTGATGAAGTCCCTGAACACTGAGAAGTCCGGCTCGGGGCTCGGCGGCCCCTGCGGCAGCGAGTGGCGCTCGGAGGG